TTGGGTCGGCATTCTCAACCCCCAAATAGTCACACAAATACTACCTGCCCAGCGGCACATCTTTTCCTCTTACACGTGCAGTGCACCGTTTGTAATTCCAGTTAGCATACAACTCCCGAACCATGCTCAGGTTAGCATGCCCCGGGCATTCCAAGAACTTGTCCATCTTTAGAGCTTGCAGCCTATCAAGTATCTCCGTGAATTTCCTCCCTAAGGCTTCGGTGTTAATCCCCATCTCAGAAATGTACCGACCAGACGACACGAAGTCCCTGTGCCAAGCAATAGCCTCATCATGAACCAAATCCAACCGAGGCCTCCTCATTGGCATGGGCTGAGAACCCTCGGCGACCTGTTTCCCCTTAGATTGCCGTGAAGAGCTTTCGCCCTGCTTGCGCTTTTTGGTCGCCGGAGAGGTGGTGGAGGGCTTTCCAACACTTTTGCCTTTGCTAGTGCTATCACGAGCCATAGTATCCTGCAACACAAGTAAGCATGAATGTGAGAATAGTTCAAGAAATATGCCTAAGGTTGTCGTGCAAGTCATGAAATTACCCCACACTTAAACCGAAGGCACAAGTACATTATGTCAAAATTGTTCATCCACCATGTACAAGTGTTGCACCTTAGAGCTATGGGTACTCAAGACTTCCCCATGATACACAATGATGAGCGATCATGGCAACGTGAATTCTCTTAGAAGATGATGAGTGATCACTAATACTAGACTATACTAAATTAGGCTAACTTAGAAGATTCTACAACATACAACATATAAAAGTAATGGTGTAAGAACATGTTCTTCATCAAAACCACATCCCCTAGCATGTAAAAGTATCCCTATACACCCCACACTTAGCCCGAATGCATACACAATTTTCTCAGGTTACTCAGACTTCACCGGGCACCAAAAATCCTCTTTCAAGCATTTAAACAAACACAATATGGGCATGAAGTGTGTTCTTATAATTCAACAATGGTGGAACATGGTGGCCCTCCCAATTTTCAACGAAGTAGAGGGAATTCTAGTTTACTACTCTGTATACACATCAGACACAATTTTCGACCAAAACACATCACCCACCATAAAAATTTCATAAGAATTACATGGGGAAAACTATGGGGAATTAGGGCTCTTGGGAATGAGATTATGTTCATCTACTAGTTAAAACACATAAAAGAAATAGAAAAGAAGATGAAGAGCATACCTGTAGACTGGAGGAAGTTAGCAAGAGAAAAGGAAAAAATTTTTGGAGACAATTAGCGTGAGGAAGAAAAGAGGAGGCGGGCAGAAGCAGTAGCGTATTGTGTGAATTTCGCGGCTTCAGCTTTTTGAATGTTTGGGCTGTTAGTGTTTGGGTGGGTTTGGGAAGGTATATTGGTATTAGTATTAGTATAAATGGGTACTTGGGTCGGGTTAATTGGATATGGGTTGAGGCAAAATAAATAACAAACAAAACAAAAAAAATAATAATTTACTTACCTGACCCCCAGCTGGGCGCTCTGCCTGGCGCTGGGGTATTAGAACCTACTGTTTTTGGCGCCCCAGGCAGCGCTGGGCGCTGGCCTGGGCGCTGTTCACGTGATTTTTTTTTTGAAATAAACATCCCGATCCCCCGAGCCCTATATATACCCAATTTACACGTCCTACACCATTACATCTAAAATTTCTATACCTATAAAGAAAATGCAATACTCTACCTATTCTAAAAGAAAAAATTAAGAAGTTAAGCTAGGAAAGAAATAAAAATTGGGTTGCCTCCCAACAAGCGCCTGATTTAACGTCGCGGCACGACGCAGAATCTCGCTTACTCATCAGCGAGTACAACCTTGGTTTTCTCACGATTAATCATTCCTCCCCAATAATGCTTGACTCTATGACCATTCACCAAGAATTTCCTCTCACCATTCAAAGCTCGCGGCTCGATTGCACCATAAGGAGTGACTCTCACCACCTCAAAAGGACCTGACCATCTCGACTTTAGCTTCCCAGGGAATAGCCGTAGTCTAGAATTGAATAATAATACCTGTTGGCCTAGCTCAAAGTGACGCGGCTTGATCTGCTTGTCATGCCATCTTTTTGTCTTTTCTTTATATAGCTTAGCATTTTCATAAGAGTGCAGTCTGAACTCATCTAACTCATTCAACTGCATAAGCCTTTTCTCGCATACGGCTTCAAGGTCCATGTTCAGCTTCTTAATGGCCCAATATGCCTTGTGTTCTAGTTCAATGGGCAAATGACATGCTTTCCCATAAACCAGCTTGTAAGGGGACGCTCCAATTGGCGTTTTATATGCAGTCCTATATGCCCACAGGGCATCATCCAACTTTGCAGCCCAATCCTTCCTATTTACACTCACCGTCTTCTCTAATATTTGCTTGATTTCTCTGTTTAACACCTCAGCTTGCCCACTTGTCTGAGGATGATATGATGTAGCAACTCTGTGGCAAACTCCATATTTAGCTAGAAGGTTATTCAACAATCGATTGCAAAAATAAGTCCCTTCATCACTGATTAACGCACGTGGAGTCCCGAATCTAGAGAATATGTTCTTTTTCACAAAAGCAGCTACCACCATGGCATTATTCGTTGGCAAAGCAATTGCTTCCACCCATTTTGACACGTAGTCAACTGCTAGCAATATGTATTTGTTTCCTCTGGACGGTGGAAATGGTCCCATAAAATCTATCCCCCACACATCAAAAAGCTCAACTTCTAGAATGTTATTTAAAGGCATCTCATGCCTCCTTGTGATTGTTCCTGTTCTCTGACATTGGTCACACTTCTTAACGAATGCATGAGCATCCTTGAATAAAGTTGGCCAAAAGAGACCGGATTGTAGCACCTTTGCAGCTGTTCTATCTCCTCCATGATGGCCCCCATAAGGTGAAGCGTGACAATCATACATCACTAATTCCACCTCTTTTTCAGGAATGCATCTCCTCATCAACTGATCGGCACATTGCTTGAAAAAATAGGGCTCATCCCAGTAATAGAAGTTCACATCATGTAAAAACCGCTTTCTAGCTTCAGATTGGACTTCGGGAGGAAGTACCCCACTCACAAGATAATTCACATAGTCTGCGTACCATGGGGGTGGGTCTTGGGTTATAGCAAAAAGTTGCTCATCAGGAAATACTTCTTTAATTTGGCCACCCTCCTCCACGTGATCGTGATTTTCCATCCTTGATAGATGGTCAGCAACTTGGTTCTCTGTTCCCTTTCGATCTCGTATTTCTACATCAAATTCCTGCAGTAATAAAACCCAGCGCATCAAACGAGCTTTGGATTCCTTTTTTGTAAACAAATACCTGATTGCTGCATGATCCGTATGCACTATGACTTTCGTTCCCACCAAGTATGCCTGGAATTTCTCAAAGGCCCACACAACAGCTAACAACTCCTTCTCAGTGGTGGTATGATTCAGCTGTGCATCATCAAGAGTCTTACTCGCATAGTAGATGGAATAAAACACCTTGTCCTTCCTCTGGCCTAGCACTGCCCCAATAGCAAGGTCACTCGCATCACACATAAGTTCAAATGGTAGAGACCAATCAGGTGCCACAATAATGGGAGCAGTCACCAACTTCTTTTTAAGTTCCTCAAATGCGTTGAGGCAAGCATCATCAAAGTTGAAAGTTACATCTTTTTCAAGCAGCCTGCACAAAGGAGTAGCAATTTTTGAAAAATCTTTAATAAAGAGCCGATAGAAACCCGCGTGTCCCAAGAAACTCCGGACACCCTTCACTGAGATAGGTGGAGGTAATTTTTCAACCGCCTCCACCTTCGCTTTATCCACTTCAATGCTGCTCCTAGATACTCTGTGACCCAACACGATGCCTTCTTGTACCATAAAATGGCACTTCTCCCAATTTAGTACCAGATTTGTTTCTTCACAACGGGCTAGCACCTTTCTTAAATTCCTCAAGCAATCATCATAAGAAGACCCAAAAACTGAAAAATCATCCATAAACACTTCCACGAATTTTTCCACCATGTCGGTGAAAATAGCCATCATACACCTCTGGAAAGTGGCTGGTGCATTACAAAGACCAAACGGCATTCGCTTGAAGGCAAAAGTAACGTAGGGGCAAGTAAAAGTAGTCTTCTCCTGATCCTCTGGGCATATGACAATCTGATTGTATCCTGAATAACCATCAAGGAAGCAGTCATATTCATGCCCGGCTAACCTGTCTAGCATTTGATCGATGAATGGGAGTGGAAAATGATCCTTGCGAGTTACCTTATTGAGCCTTCTATAATCAATGCATACTCTCCATACCGTAACAGTGCGAGTGGGGATTAGCTCATTCTTCTCGTTCTCAACTACAGTCATTCCTCCCTTTTTGGGCACACATTAAACCGGGCTTACCCAGTTGCTATCAGAAATAGGAAAAATGATACCTGTATCGAGCAACTTGATTACTTCCTTTTTCACCACCTCTTTCATAATGGGATTTAATATCCCTTGTTGCTCTACACTGGGGCGGTGTCCGTCCTCTAAAAAGATTTTATGCATGCAAAACGATGGACTAATACCCTTGATGTCAGATATAGTCCACCCAATGGCCTTTTTATGCTCGCGGAGGACTCTGAGCTATTTTTCTTCTTGAGTGCTGGTCAAGTTGGACGAAATAATCACGGGCAGTGTCTCTGAGTTCCCCAAATAAGCATAGCGCAGATGCGCTGGAAGTGGCTTGAGTTCTAGCTTCGGAGCTTCTTCAATAGATGGCCTGGGGAGGGTCAGAGTGACAGGCCTGTCCAACTCTTCAAATTTTCTAACCCCGTGTACATTACTGCAGGACATATCCAGCACTTGCTCAATTTCTCCTATCCTTTCATCTTCACTATTTTCTACGTCCCCAATCAATACTCGTTCAACAGGATCTGCAGGGCTCATATAGGGTACTAACGATGTGGCCTCACTTTCCACCGCAGAGATCATGGATAACTCTTCATAATGGGCTGGTAACTTGAGTGCTCTATAAACATTGAATACCTCCACTCAGTCACCCACTCTCATTGTCATCTTTCCTTCGCAGACATCAATAATAGCTCGGCCCGTGGCTAAGAATGGACGCCCCAAAATAAATGGGACTTCCTGATCAGGCTCGTAATCCAGGATGATGAAATCAGCTGGGAATATGAAAGACCCCACTTGAACTAGCACATCTTCAATCACTCCCTCAGGATGAGCAAGGGAGCGATCAACTAATTGTAAGATAACTGTTGTTGGGCGTGGTTCACCCAACCCCAACTGTATGAATATAGATAGCGGCATCAAATTGATGCTTGCTCCAAGGTCACATAAAGCTCGCCCAACAACATATTTACCAATTGAGATTTGGATAGTTAAACTACCTGGATCCTTCAATTTCTGAGGTAACTTGCCTTGAATTCTAGAACTGTACTCCTCAATGAGTGCCACAGTCTCGAACTCGGTCAGCCTCCTTTTATTTGCCACAATGTCCTTGATGTACTTTGCATATTTGGGTACTTCTTGTAAGATGTCAACCAATGGAATATTAATTTGTACCTGCTTCAAGATATCAAGAAACTTTTTATATGCGGCATTATCTCTTAATTTCTGCAGTCTTTGAGGGAATGGAGGTGGTGGCCTTGCAACCAATTGTGGGGGTTGCTCAGCCACCGCCTCTCCAGCTGGCATCTCTGGCTCCTTAGCTTTCTCTGATGTTGATTCAATAGTGGTTGGCTTCTCATTAAAAGTCACCTGTTTCCTCTTTTTAGACAGAACTTCCTCTAGTTGTCTCCCATTCCTCAACGACACGGCATTAAGGGCCGCCCTAGGATTTGCTTCAGTGTCACTTGGAAGAGCTCCAGCTGGTCTAGTGTTTTGAGCACTAGCAAGCTGTCCCATTTGACGCTCCAAATTTCTCACTGTTGTGGCGAGGGCTTGCTGTTCAACCATCATTTTTTTAAGCATGTCTTCAAGGTGACTTGTAGGACTTGGTTGTTGTTCAACCTGAGGTGGTCTATACTGCTGTTGAGGTGCTTGAGGCCTGTATTGATTCTGAGTGCCCTGGTTTCCACCCCAAGAGAAGTTTGGGTGGTTCCTCCAGTTGGGATTATAAGTGTTCCCATATTGATTTGTTTGGCCCCTATTTGAATTACCCACAAAGCAGACAGACTCTGGGTTTGCGGGGCATATGTCGCTCGTGTGCCCCTCTCCACATATTTCACAAAAAGCTTGAACCTGTTGTACCAGTTGTACTTGTTGCTTGTTAATACTCAAGTTCATATGGGTGACTTGATTGGTCAGTGTAGCAATCTGCACTGATAATGCTGAGACGACATCTAACTCAAGTACCCCTGCAGACTTTTGCACTGTGTGTCTGCCCATCTCTCCTTGCCAATCCGGATTGCTCTTGGAGAATTTGTTCAATAATGCATATATCTCGTCAAAGCTTTTCTCCAACACTTGACCCCCAGCTGCAGCATCTACCACGATCTTTGTTTCAGAATGTAGCCCTTCTATGAGAGTGTGAGCTAACACTTCATTCGTCTGATTCTGATAAAGATAGTCGCTGAGTTGCCCCTTGAACCTTTCCCAAGCCGAGTATAAAGATTCTCCCGCTTTCTGTTTGAAGGCCACTATCTCACTTCTGATCTTTGCAGTTTTGCCTGAAGGAAAGAACCTTGCAAGAAATTTTCTTGCCAAATCATTCCATGATGTAATGGAATTAGCTGGTTCTGCCTTTAGCCATCGCTTAGCCTCGCCCAACAGAGAGAATGGAAAAAGTGTGAGCCTCACATAGTCTGGAGTGACCCCGTTAGTGATATAAGTATCACTAATCTCCAAGAAGTTCAGAATATGCTGCTGTGGATCCTCGTGTGGAAGACCCATAAATTGCCCATTTGCATGAAGTAACTGGATCATGCTGTGTTTCAGCTCAAAGTGCCCAGTGATCCTGGGCTTCACTATACTGGAGGTGACATTAGCAATGCTGGGCATCGCCACCTCCTGAACAGCCATGGGTTGCTCCTCTGCCATGTCCACAGGTAATTGAACAAGTGGCTTAATATTATTCGTGTCCCTTGCTTCCCTCAACCTCCTGTGAAATGTTCTCTCAGGTTCAAGATCAAAGCCTTGAAGTCGGTCCTGGCTTCTGACCCTACGCATTCAATCAAAGTTCCTGAGATCTGAGCAACAATCGAATAACGTCAGACTAGACAAAATAAACAATTGAAGCAAAAACTAGCAAGTAGTTAATATTCAAGTCCCCGGCAACGGCACCAAAAACTTGTTGCTCCCAAACGCACACGCAAGTATACGTGGTCGACAAGTAATATAATGATAAGTTGAGTGTCGAACCCACAGAGACTTGTGTAAACTACTCACGGAATTACTAAAATTGTTATTGAGTCCAGCTAAATCAAAGTCCAATAATATGATTATATTATTCTATGATTCTAAATAATAACTAATTTATCAAGTAACAAGTTGATTGTTGTGTATTCAGTAGAGACAAGTATTCCAGGGTTGTGATCGATTCACCAATTGTATTGTGTTCTAATTAACTCTCCCTTTCATATAATTCACCCATGATTGCTAATTAATCGATAAATGCTCTCATAGCCTTCTCCCGAAGTACTACTCACCTATTCTCAATAGATTAACGCCTATATTCCTATGAAATTAATCTATTAAGAACGCATTAAGATCACGATATTTAATTAAGCACGGTGACTAGGTATATTCCTATCCTAACCATAAATCCGCTCCCCCAAAGGGTTAAGATCATGCTCTCTTCAATTATTCTCTAATCTAAACACGACTTTCCCAAGCATAGTATAGATAGTAAATAGAACCTAACTGCTGGCCAGACAATTAAGCAATTAAACACAGAATTGAAGAAACAACCATATGTTGGTGAATTATAATCAAGGTTAAGTTAATATCAAACAACAATATTCATGGCTTAATCACAACCCCAGAACAATGGGTGTTTAGCCACTCATGATGTAATCAAACAATTGCATAAGTTTTGAATCAATTGAAAATACTGGAAAAAGATCAAGAATTCCGAGTTGTTCTTGCTCCTCAAAGTTTCTAGCATGTATTTTTGCTCCAAGGTGCGTCTCTCCATTCAAAATAAGTTTTAGGATGGCTTTTATACGTGTTGGATAGGTTTACGGCTGACTAAATCGAGTCCCAGGCAAAATAGGCCAACTTCGCGTGACCGGCGCCCTCCATAGCGCCCAAAAATAATTCCTACTGTTTTCTGCGCCACAGGTGGCGCCCAACTGGCCAATTTTCTAATCTTGTCCGTTTTAGCTTCAAATCTTGCACGTTTTGCTCCCACTTGCTCCCGAATAATTCCTACAAGTAAAAACACTTCTATTTAATATGATTCATAGCATTTAACATCCCAAATTCATGAAACAAGAATAAAATATGAGGCGATATACACAAAAATATATATACTTTAAGCCAAACATCAGACATAGCCCCCACAAATAGGAGCACATATCCAATTAATTCACCTATGGGGACAATTTCCTCTTACAAGGTTAGAAAGGAGACTCACCTCGCTCCGAAGTTTCCACGCCCTTCCGAAGACCCAAATCGACCATAACGCTCCAAAACTAGCCAACAATTATGTAAACCTATTAACATATGTTCAATCACTCATAATAACCCAATTTATATCAATTTCTAACCCCGATCGAAAAGTTGACAAAATCGCCCTCGGGCCCACGTGTCCGGATTCCGAAATTTTTCAAAGATAAAGTTTACCACAACCTCACGAACTCAAATATATAATTTGCTCTCAATTTCATGTCCAAAATCGTGTTCAAAATCAAAGAATACAAATTTCCTAGGTTTTCTTCAAAATCCAAAAATTTCTACGAATTTACATGATTTTCCATGTTAAAATCTAGATATAATCCATGTAATTAACTTGCAATAGGTGGGAATCACTTACCTTGACATAGATGATGAAGATGGAGCTCCAAAATCGATCCTAGGTCGGCTCCCATGGAGGAAATGACATGAAATGAGCCAAACCCATTTCTTTGCACTTATACACTACCCAGGCGACTCTTCTTCGCGATCGCGAGACCCCAATCACGTTCGCAAAGAAGGAAATTCCCAAAAATCATTTTCCAAACTCTTCTCAGACAGCCTCTAGTATAATGGACATAACTTTTGGTACAAAATCCAAATGACAAATGGTTTAATATTTTGAAAACTAGACACCAAGATCTACAACTTTTGTGTTTCGGTCATCTCCCAATTCCTTATAGATTTTGAGATATAAGCTGCCAAAGTCAGCCCTGTGCAACACAAATTTCTTCTTTATCTTCCCGGACAGCCTGTAGTGTACCAATCATAACTTTTTATACACACATCCAAATGCTAAATAATTTACCTTTTGGAAAACTAGTTACAAAGGGCTACAACTTTCATTTTGGGATGATCCTCCAAATTCATTATATATTGCGAGATATGAGCCTCCAAAGTCAGACCTGTGCAACAGAGATTTCGTTCTTCGCGAACGCGAGGATACTTTCACGAACGCGAAGAACAAAGTCCCTGAAGCCAAATCCTTCTTCGGGAATGCGAGAGGGTTCACACGAACGCGTAGAACAACACCAGATACCAGCATCAGCTATTGCAAAACAGCTCGAAATGATCCGAAACTACCCCGAAACACACCCGAGGCCCCCGGGACCCCATCCAATTACACCAACCAGCCCCATAACATAACACGGACCTGCTTGAGGCCTCAAATCACATCAAACAACACTAAAACCATGAATCGCACTCCAATTCAAGGTTAATGAACTTTAGAATTTCAAACTTCTACATTTGATGCCGAAACCTATCAAATCACGTCCGATTGACCTCAAATTTTGCACACAAGTCATATTCGACATTATAGACCTACTCCAACTTCCGGAATCAGAATCCGAACCCGATATCAAAAAGTCCACTTCCGATCAAACTCCTCAAAAACCTTCAAATTTCTATCTTTAGCCAAATGACTCCAAAATGACCCACGGACCTCCGAATACACTTTCGATCGCGCTATTCCCAGTTTCGGAATCCCAAACGGACATCGATAATACTGAAATACACTTAAACCCAAACTTATGAAATTCTTTCAAAAATGCCAACTTCCACAATAGGTGCCGAAATGTTCTCGGGTCTTCCAAAACCCGATTCGGGCATACGCCCAAGTCTGAAATCATCATACGAACCTGTTGGAACCTTTGAATCACGATTCTGAGGTCGTTTACTCAAAAATCCAATCTTAGTCAATTCTTCCAACTTAAAGCTTTGGAAACGGGAATTTTCTTTCAGAATCAACTCAGAACTTCCCGGAATTCAATTCCGACGGTGCGTACAAGTCATAACACCTGAAGTGAAGCTACTCAGGACCTCAAATCGCTGAACAACGTGCTAGAGCTCAAAATGACAGGTCGGGTCGTTACACTGTGTCCTCATCATTTAGAGGTAGAGATATGTCTGAGATAGTCGCATTAGGACAGGAGAGTGAAAGGAAATCTGGGTTGGGGGTGGTTTCAGTGGTTGAGACTGGAATAGTAACAGAGGATTCATCAGGAACGGAGGACTGAAGGTTTTTCTCTTGGTTAGTGTCGATTGAAGGAGGGATTTTAGAGTGATTGTCAGCCATTGAAGAGATAGAGTTGAGAATTCTTTGGAGAAGGTCTGAGGAGAGAAGTATGATCAGTCAAGGGAAGAGAAGTTTTAATGAGAGAAGATAATTATGAGGAGAGAGATAGGAACCGGTTCTTAAACGGCGGTAGTGTGTGGGGAGTTGCAACATTTCAGAGGGAGATGGAAATGATTTGAAATGAAAAGACGTGATAGCGGAGTCTGAAAAGGTGGATGACATGGCAGTTGAATTTGCACCTTTTCAAGATGTGTATTAAAGAATGCACAGGACTACTAACCTTTGGTACAAGAACCAGGTTCTTGACCTGTATTTGAAAATTTCAATCCTCTTTCACCACCCAAGCAATGCATCTACATCTTCTATAATCATCATGTGTGTCTACCTGCAACGGTATTGAAGTGAGTTAGACTTGGCCAGAAAACACTTTAGCTAATATTACCTGAAGATGACTTTCATAGCCAACTGATGGGGATCAGGTTCTCAGTTAGGCTTCAATAGCCCCAGCTTCATCCTATTTCTTTCAAAATGCTCCCTACTTAATGCTTTGGTCAAGATATCTACAATTTGGTCTTCTATACTGCAGAACTTCATACAGATAAGCCCCTTCTCCATATTGTCTCTCATAAAATGATGTCTCATATCGATATCCTTGGTTCTTTTGTGTTGAACTGGATTCATGGCCATGTTGAGAGCA